AGATTGGAGCTTATCTAGTATCTACCTACCTTAGACTTATAAGTAAAACCTCAAAGTCTTAAAATTATGAAAAATTTAAAGGGGAAAGATGTAGAGAAAAAAGAAACAAAAAAAAACAACAACAGTAGATTGCAATCTTGAAAGGATACACAGCTCACTTTTGCCTAGGCAATATACACATTAACAACTTCTATCGAATACTAGAACCTCTTGTATGATCTTTATGTATGCTACCTAATTTAATCCTAACAAAAACCTTGCAAGGCATATATTATTATATCCTCTTTATTAAAGTGTAAAGTGAGGCTCAGAGACGTTATCACACCACGTGATCTCAAGAAACCATCTTGAGGTCTCATGCTGTCAGTGCCAGAGTTGAGGCTGTAACCTAGCCACAGTGGATCTTTCATGCTGTGTTCTAGCAACATACAGACTAATTCTGTTCCCTGTTTATCACTTTGAAAATCAAGGAAATAAAAGTGAACTGGTATCATTCACACGCTTGTGTCTTTTCAAGGGAGTTTTCTATAAATGATTTCATTTGATTCTGTAAACTATTCTGTTTTAAACACACACACACAGACACACACACACACACTTACACAAGCAATGGAGACATATTACCCCCATTTAGTAACGAGTGAAGGGACACTGATTAGAGATTCCACATGGTCTTCCAAGTCCCTGCTCAGGATCTCTTGACCCCATAATCCCACAGTATACATCTAAAGAGAGGGAGCATTAGGTGAATCTTACTGGTAGCACCTACCTATTGTCACCTTCTCTGGAGAAAAAGACGGTGAAGGTTTGAATGTTCCCTTTTGCTTCTGCGGGTGGGCGCCAGCTGAGACGGATGAACCGACTGGAAACCAAGACAGGGACCACATCTCGGGGAGCAGAAGGGAGGACGCTCGAGCTTAGGATAGCTAAGGAGGAAGAAGAGGAAGCTGTCAGAGGCGCAGGCGCCATGGGCTGGAAATGTGCAGGAAGGCAAAGCCGACCCATTAGCAAACAGAATAGCACATTCACAAAGGTGCTAAAGGAAGGAAGAAAAACAAAGGAAAGCAAAGAAACTGTAAATGGAATCAAAGGTATATTAAGAAGTTCTTGGAGTTTATAAAAGAGTGGCTGATTAATAGCATCTATGATTCTACTGCGTATTTTTTCAGTTTCTATTATGCATGAGATCCACGACAATAAGAATATATGTTCTAGTTAGGCATGAAACAGGAAAACATAACCATGGACTTGCCAGTATTGATGAATGCCTCAGGAAACCAAGTAGTTATTACAAAATCTTATTGCGCTCAGAGCCTGTTTATACTGTTTTTAGATACAAAATTTGAAGAATCTCATTTAAGAATTTTCTAAGACCACAGAAAATTTAAAGCAGCGAATTCAAGTTGTTGGAGCTAACAAAAAGTAGAGATGTGTCTCATGGGCTACCTGCTAGGGGGAGAAAGGACAGAAAAACATTCTACAAGACAAAGATATACAATTGTTCCATGCTTGAGGAGTATCGCTATATTTATAGCAAAAATTAACAATTATTATTCATAAATGAATAATAATTCAGTTATAGTCAGGGATAACTGAATCATCCACAACTAGAAAACTAGTTTTTCCAAACATTTGGGGCATTTATAATCTATAATGGAAGTTTTCTATTAAGTGTGTGTGTGTGTGTGTGTGTGTGTGTGTGTGTGTGTGTGTGTGTGTGTGTGTTTGAGTGAANTTTTAGACAGACTGGACTTAAGGTGCCTCTAGGAAATCCATGTAGATACACCAAGACAACTGGACAAGAATTATTGCTTCCAATTTTCACAGCTGTACACACTGAGATCCAAAGAACTTATAAGACTTCTTGAAAGGTAACAGAGTTAAGTAGACACAGAGATAAGACTAAAACAAATGCCTGCTACTTCATGGTAATGAATAATCTTAGGGAACATAGGCTGTATGTGTACATGTATTTCTTGAATTTCATTTTAAAGTCAGGTGAAATTGTACAAAAAAAAAAAAGAAAGAAAGAAACTTCCAATAGGATATACTTGAACTTTTTCTGTGAACTAGGAAAGAAAGCATTTTGAGATACAGCATGAGAGAAATTGTAATGTTTCATCTGATTATCACACTGCAGCATTTTGAACTAAATACTGCCCTGGCCATCCCAATCATTACTGTCCCATTCAAATCCTGAGGGGTTCCTAACGATCATCCTTGTGTTTAAAGCACTGGCAAATCTGAGAGACCAGTAGCCTCACACTTGACACCTAGCTTCTCCCCGTATGCTCTTTCTTAGCACTTCAGTGGGCACTGGAATACCCGTGACAGCCATTTGGTCCATTCTTCTCCAGAATAATGAATGATGACAGCCAGGATTGGGGTGCCCTCAGCACGCTCAACAACTGGGGCCCACCAGGGCACTTATGCTCCCTGGCTTACTCTCTCCTCTCTTTCCCTTCCTTTTTTCCTTTCCTTCTCTACTCTCCTCATNAGGACAAAGGACAAATTGATGACTACAGACCTGGAAGACTTTGGAGAGTTTCACATAGCCGGTGACATTTCAGTTAGGGCTTCCATTCAACCAGTCTTTTGTGCGTGTTGACTATGGTTAGGTATGCCTCTTAAGTGCTGAGAACAGCTCCGCGAGTAAAGGAGATAAAACATCCCTACCCATAGGAGGCTTATATTCTGGTGGCAAGAAAGGGGATTCAGGAAACAATAAGGAGAAGGTAATAAAGCTGTGGAGAAAAACTAAGCATGGAGAAGGGTATAAGGAATGCTCGGGGTCAGGTTAGACCTCCGGGGAGAGGTGCCATTTCAGCAAAGACCTAGTGGCAGGTAGAGGACACCGCGTGGACCTCTGAGGGGCGGGGCGCTCTAGGCAGCCTGAACAGCAACTGCATAGGTCTTGATACGGAGGATTCTTGGTGTATTTAGGAAACACAAGGAAGTGAGAGAGACTAGAGGCGAATGGGCAAATAGGGAAATGGTAAGAAAAGTAAATGAGGGAGCTAGAAAGGTGACAAGGGGCCTCATCAGGAAGGCCTTCTGTTTTGTTTTGTTTTTTTCTCCGAATGTCATAGGGCCTCATTGGAGGCTTTTGAAGCAGAATACACTAACATATGTTTTAAAAGGTTAATGGCAGCTGCGATGCTGAGAATAGACAAGGGAGGTTCGTGTTATAGTTCAGATGAGGCTTGATGGTAGTCAAAGGGACGGAAGTGGTAGGATTCCGCATATGTTTTATTTTCATTTATTTATTTATTTTAATTTTTGAGTATGAAAAATTTTAATATGGACAATACAAAATTAGACAATGGTAGGATGAACCATTTTATTCCCATCACTCAGATCAAAGTGAAGTCATAGCAGTCTTTTAGTATTATTTGTAGCAAATCTCAGGTAGCATTATTTCATGGATATATTTTGAAAGCAGTGCCAAGACTTGATGGTGGGTTTGGTATGAGGGGATAAGAAAAAGAAGGATTAAGGATTACTCCAAGAATTTTGGCCTGATTAGCAAGGGATTTCACTGAGATGAAGGAACCTCTGGAATGATAAAAGTATTTGAAAGG